TTAATGTGTGCCAATGGTAGGTTTGCCGTTGTACCCAACTGCGAAATCTTGGAAGTAATGAGAAAGGCGCTCGTAAAAGTTTAAAAGTCGAAGGTTTATAACTAAATTTCAGCCTGCCGTAGAAGCAGCCGTGAACGGATACTTTACATAACACCATATGAATTCCGAGAACTGTAAATTCACGGTGCTGGAGGAAGATTTCCAAGGCCAGACGTAAATTGAACCGCACGAATTCATGTCTCGGCATTTACTTTCTAAAGCGCCTCCACCTACGACTCTAGTTGCGTATTTGGAGCCAACTTTCCGTGTCGATTTCCGCTCTTTTCCGCAACAAAGGCACCTGTTCTCATAACTCCGCCCGTCGGGCGTGCGGGCGGGTAGGTGGGAGGGCGGCGAGGACCCCACGAGACCCCAGGGCGATTCGCGCAAAAAGTGCTCGGCTGGGCTCCGCGGCGATTGATTCGCGGGGAGGGAAGTAGAGCGGAGCGCGCTGCCGGGCGGGCGTCAAAAACGCCCCCGCCTGAAAGTGAAATCCATCCATACGCGTAAACAAACAGCCGCCGCGGGTGCGAGGGAGAAGCGAGAGAGTGGAAAGCGGTGGGGGTGGTGAGGGGTGGGATGAACGAAATCAAGGCTGAAGATCCTACAGAAAGCGGAGTTCAAGGAGGTAGCGAGGACAGTGCTATGTAAATAGCGGACTAAAAGGAAAACGAGAGTTTAACCCATAGGTAAATTGCGATCTGGCCCAGAGAAGGGCAAACGTAAATTGCGGACCAACTACCTCATCCCCTTCCAGGAAAAGTAGAAGGTGACACGTTTGATCGAAGAACGTTTCCATTAGTTTTAAAACACAACTTCCTCCTCAATTTTTCAGACTTAAGACTGGTATATTTCGTTCGTAACATGGTTTGTTTAAAGTTGGTTTTCATTGAATTGAATCATTCGTTGATTGAATAATATTTTTTTCATTTTATATTCTTCCATTTTCTCAGCTAATATTTCATATGGCTGAACTTGAAATTTGGACACTCTTCTAGTGCTATATTTGGTTTTGTATTTTGATGTAGGAGCGAGTGTGCAATATTTGCAAGAAGCCACAAGGAAAAGCTGGACAGCAGGATCGGCGGCGGCCTTTCCTGAGTTGGTTTGGTACGCAATTTACATGTAGAATTAAAAAGTAAGTTTCGCAAGAAAAGATCAAGGGATTATTTGGTCCGCAATTAACACACGACCGCAAGGGCAGTGGTGATATGGGGAACAGAGATGATAGGAAGATCGTTGACGACGATGAGAGCGGGAATAATAGCGATAATAATGAGTGTAGTGCGAACGAGGAGGATTGTGAAGTCTATGACGACAGTGAGAATAATAATTAAAAGAACGATGAATGTAGCGTTAATAAAAATATGTGTAAAAGAAATTTAGTGTAAAAATAGAGCTAATTAAGAGAACAACGATGACAGAAAGCATAATATACGAAGGTCGGGATAATTATGCCGGTTCTAGCCCTCGATATGAACGATTCAAATAGTAAGGACGATCACAGAGCTTACGAGTGAAGAACGCATAGACACTAGAACTAATAAAAGCACCGTAAAGAACGCAGACTGCACTGACAACAATTTGGGTGGAGTGTACGATACACCATGTCTGTACGATATGGAAAATGGAGTGGCACATCTCGATAATTTACATATTTACTTGACGTAGAGAAAAGTGAAGTGAATGTTTGAATGAACAACGGTAGCACCACGATTGCGTGACGCGGTTTAAAACAAGGTGGAAGCGTATGGGAGTAAGAATATGCCTACACACTCGCACATCGGAATGGCATGGAACATGGACAGAAAGGGGTTAGTAGGAGCAAGATACAAGCGAAGTTAAGGTGGAGGTACAAGTGCCCCGGTTCAACTGCATAAAGGCCGATGTGGCCAAGGGGAGGCGAAGACGGGGCTCCACCAACGCCTCGGCGTCGATACGAGGAGGAGGTGGTGGCACAAGTAGAGTTTCGAGAAACGAAATGATACAGCACGCTGTTCGTGCCCCGTATGTTAGTGTACTGTATCACCATTCGCCTAGTATTAATCAGCGAAACCACGGAAAACTACAGATCAGAGCAGCTGGCAGCTAAAACTCTCCAGACAGCGACAGAACTTGACCCAGCTATCCGGTTAATGTGAAAAACCCTGCCACGGTTGGGACTAGAAAACCAAGATCTCCGGTCAGACACTCTGCTGTAACATCACGTGATGCCTTGAGCCACCTCTCCCGGTGCATACTATATTAAAAGTAGGTGCTACCACCACTGATGGGAGAAGGAAATGGTGGGAGTAGACAGCGTTCGCGAAGACGGCAGGGAAACGTGGCGACGGTGGCGGTTCCACGCCAGCGCCGTCGCCGCCGCCCGGCTGTGCAACGCCAACAATTACTTGAACCAACCCTCCGAAAAAGAGCGCTGCCCCTGCCTCGGGCACATCGCGTGCATTAGGTCACACGCACAAACGTGTTCACGGGGCAGTGTATCCGGTTGCCCGATTCCCGAATATAATGTTGCGAAGAGGAAAATAGAAATATTATATCAGCGAGATTACTACTGCGGTTCAGTCTTAGTCTGAGAGGAGCTTTTAAACCTACCCGCTTCTTTTAGCAGTATATTTCAATTTTTGGCCAACTTACGACTATGTGACTATGCAACATGATAACCTACGACATTCAACAGCAAACGTTGTGCCCTATTACATGCGCGCAGTCCTTCGCGAAGACTTACAGAGTTTGTAGCAAGCAGGTAGCAGCAGATATGTGATGACATTTTTTTTGCAGCATAGTGTATTTTTATTACTTCGCTTCATTTGATTTCACTTTTTATAACTATGAAGCCATAAAAAATGCGGAAACAGTGAATTTTCAACGTTCAACTAGACGATTCTATCCATCTAAATTTAAAATCTGAATTTGCTGCATTAATATTAGTAATTTCCAATGGTCGCAAAAATAGACAACACCGCAGTATCCGGTCATGTGAGAGGTGTCTATGGTTTAGTCAGATACCCAGGACTGAGAAAAATCCATTGTTAGTCTCCATTTTACCTGAAAAACGTTAGTATTTGTTATTTCGGCTATTTGCATGCTGTGCGCTCCAATTGACTTCTGTGCCTACGACTAGCTGACGTGAGACCTCCCTGCAATTAATATTCGCGTCCTGTATTGCAACATGAAACTGCACGTTTTAGGATATTGTAGGATATAAGAACTGTTGTACTATGTATTCCTAAACTCTATATTACTTTGTAGTAGTACTCGTGAAGATTGATATTGTTAAAATATATCATTTATTGCAGGTCATATAAGAATATTTTATTTATTATTCTTGATGAGTGTGAGTGCTACTTTTCGAAATCCTTTTTCGTGGGTCAGCTCCTCCTCCTCCTCCCATGTCGTCGAGAGCCCGACGGGCCGGCGTCGCTCGCCGGTGTCGCCACTGGACCCTCTCTCCGCCCGTCGGCACGCTCTCGGCTGCACAACGTCAGTGAATAAAACATACACGCAAATAAATAAATGGATACGCACGGAAATGTATCAGAAAAAACACACGTGTAAATGAATAAATAAGTAAATAAACAGCAGTTGGAAGCGAGGTTCGAATCATCAGGTCATCACGACTAAGTAACCCCTGTCACTATTGTCCAACGTTTAATAACAGTTTTTAACAAACATATTCGAAAGAAGGGAAAGAGAGATGACATAAAAACTTATAAGATGTTGTATGTAATATGTAATATGACGTGGGCAGTGTTCGCTTAAACGATTAAATTACTTGTTCGTGCGACGGTCTATCAAGTTTTTTGTCAATAACCCAATTTAAAAGAACTAAACATTAGGATGAATTTAAGTTCTTTATAAATACATCTTGCAATAGTTTAATAAATGTTAATGACAAGATATATTAACTCCAAATCTCCTTCCGTGTATCTGTTAAGAAATCTAAGAAACTACATTTTACCGACCAAATATCTCAGTTCAGAAGAATTACTAATATATTTGTTCCAGTAATTCATCTTCTTCCCCCCATCAACACCACTATAACAGAATTTACGTAATTAATTCTGCAAAACAGGTTCAAGAAGTTTAGATCTCTCCAGAATGCACTGCACTATGAGCAATTACTCTCAATACTTTTAATTCGCGAGTTTCGAAAGGTCCTGGAACGTCACTAGCACAAAATGTTGGGGCGACAAAAGCAACTGGACTGAATGCAAACAGTGTAATTGTGGGTAGCATCTGTTTAATGAGAGAAGAAAGAGATGAATACGCGTTGGTCTTGACGTAGTAAGTATAGTATCATTTGCAAGAGCATTATCATGTTAATTGCACGCTTTGCAAATTAATATACTTTATTAAGTTTTTTAACATTCAAGTTATGCATAATTACAACTCTATTGTGAATTTTATATTTCCATAGTTTTTCAAGACTATATCATTACCTTGCAAAGTCACACTAATATCTTCTCTTTTCATTGGGAATTTGTTTATTAATTCTATTATTTGCAATTTTTTTGATTTTTTATTAACATTTTCTTATCGTAGCAATTAAGTTAATTTGCATTACCACAACAGTAATTTTTTGGCACTGCAAGCTGATAATCGCTCACTAACAGAAGTTATCGAACGCTTAACAGAATCTGTTTTCATGGGCGTCATATAGACGCAACCAATTTCTCGTTTTATTATTATTTTCTTATTAATTAACTAGCAAGTCCATACCAGAAAATCCAAGAATTTACATATGCGTCTCAAAATGTTTCGTTGAATGGATTACATATGTTATTCGTTTCCACGTTATGTTCTTGTAAGCTATTAATGTAGATTTCCTCTTCACGTGCAGTTTCCTAGTCCCCTATCTATTTCTCCGTCTCCTTCCCTACCTCACGGCCCCTAGCGACCCCGACGCCGTGTTATTCGGGGGAGTTTCTACCGCACGTCGCCCGCTTCTTGTGTCGCAGTCGTTCTTCGGCCGCTCCTACAACAACCTGAGCTCCATCTCCGAGTGCAAGAACAACGGCGAGTGCGTGATCAACAAGAAGAACCGCACCTCGTGCAAGGCCTGCCGCCTGCGCAAGTGCCTGCTGGTGGGCATGTCCAAGAGCGGCTCTCGCTACGGACGCCGCTCCAACTGGTTCAAGATCCACTGCCTCCTGCAGGAGCAGCAGCAGCAACAGCAGCAGGCGGCCGCCGCCGCGCAACAGGTACGTCTGCACGTCCTTAGGGCGATGTAGAGCAACTGACGCGGTTGAATGGCCGACCTTTATAACCGACCAAGTACGCTACTTGTGAGGTCAGTCGGGTGACTTTCAATGCTTTTCGTAATACCACCCCTTTAAAAGAAAAACACCTTTCAAGAGAGACATTTTCATGGAGCATACGTTTTCTTTATCTGTTATCTCCCGTTATTCCTTATCTTAAGATCAAACTCATCCGTTATATTAGGTACAAACGCAAGTGCGTGAACCCAATATTTTGGTAACAAAATTTAGCCATTAGTTTGCACCACATTTTAACGTATTTGCATAGACTGAAATAAATAGTTTGAAAAGAAAATTAACAATTAACTTCTAACAAAATATTCTCAATACGGTTGCTGAATTTTGTAATGCCTCATTTTCAATAATTTGTATTACATTTGTTTTATGGAACTATTTCTTAAAAAACTGAAACACATGTATTTTATATTCTAACAGTCTTATATAATCGAGATGTAAGAAAATTCATATTTACCAACATTTTGTGCTAATTTACTTTGTAATAAAACAAAAAATAATGTTGAAATTGTTTACCAAAGTCATTTTATTGCATACGACAGTTTATAATATTTTAATTCAATTTTCTACGCATCAACTGCGTAGATTTAATTTAGGTATGTACTAGAAAGCCTAAAATGAGATTTCTGATCAACAGATTGCAGCAAATATTTGGGTTTGCATTTTCTAGTTTGCATTGAAGTGATTCTTCGAGAGGAGAAGGGCCCTTTTCTAATGCATGTGTGCTTGTCCCGCCCAGCAGCAAGCCGCCCACGCGCAGCAGGGCGGTCGCCAGAAGACGCCTCCGCCGCCGCCGCACTCGCTGGGGCTGCTAGGCGCGCAGTTCGACCCGCGGCTGCACCACACGCTGGCCGCCATGCAGCACCACTCGCTGGCGCGGGCCACCACCAAGGAGGAGCTCATGCTGCTGGGCTTGGACGAGTACAAGCACTCGAGCTCACCCTCCGTCAGCTCGCCCGAGTCGCACAACTCGGACTCGTCGGTGGAAGTGAGCGACGCGCGGCTGGGCGGGCGCGGCGGCGTGGGCGGCAGCGTGGGCGGCGGCGTGGGCGGCGGCGGGGCGTTCAAAAGCCCCGGGGGCGGAGTGGACGGGCACGGCGTGCCCGCGGGCCCGCACCACCACCTGCCCATGCCGCTGCCCTTCCCGTCGCTGGCCACGCTGGGCCACGCCGTCTTCCCGCACTCGTTCCTGCCGTCGTTCGCCGCGCAGCCCGGCGCGCCCGGCGCCCTGCTCTTCCCGCCAGGCGCGCCCTACCTGTGCTCACTGCCCGCGCCCCCCAAGACGCCCGCCGGCCTCCTCAAGGCCGCCGCCAACAACAACAACAACAACAATAGGTGAGCGACAACAACGAATTCAGGCGCGTCAACTGCTCAAAGGTCGCTCATCATCACTACCTAACCAAGTCTCATGCATTTTTAACGCGGAAGGTAGTTGGCGCGATCCGGCGCACCGCCCCTGCAGCGACATGCTCTAAGCTCTCTACTGATTTCCCGCAAAGCGGGGAAGTGTAGTGCCTTTAAGAGTAAGATGTGTAAAGGAAGGGGTGAGATTAGTACAAGGAAGAGGAAGCATATATCGCGCGTAGAACGTGGCCCGTTTGGTAGACCGGTGCTCGAACTCTGGGACTTCCCCGCCAGAGGCACTGCGAGCGTCAATTGATGCCCTGAGCCACCCAAACCAGTCCCAAATGGTATTTTGGCTGCAGCAAGAAATATATCGTCAGGTTCGAAATGGTTTCACGGGATACTACGGGTAACAAAATCTTGAGAGGCAAAATGAGCCAAAGGGCTACCGCGAGCAATAGTAAACGACTCAGATGGATTGTTACACCACCTTGGGTAATAATATCAGGAAAGGTTAACGAAAGAAACACAAAATATATCTATGTAACATTATTTTGCTCTCGCAAAAGGCCCATTTTCAATTGTTCAACTCCGCCTTCCACGCAGCGACATGACCTCAACCCGAACCTGAAAACTGCAAAATAAATTTTTGCGCAGCGCCGAGCAATGAATCATTTCACGTCGCCCCCCGTTTCCTCCGCGCCGGAGCGCGCGTGCGCACACAATGGACACATGTTCAATTCCAGCAGCTTTCCACGTTTACTACCGAGCGAACGAGCCACCCCAGAGCGCGGCCGCGCTTGCCACCCGCCGCACGTCCCACGCTGACACAGCTCAAGATATTATTTCCAGCTGCAATTGCCATCCGCTCATTTCACTACCAAAGCAGATGCAGTCCATTCGTGTCAACGGCGCGCGTGCCATCCGGTGACACGCGCGTGCCCAGGGTTGCCGACCCCGCTCCCTCCCTTCGCCGTCTTCTCCGCCCCGACCCCTCCGCACGACGGGAGGGGGTGGGGGTGGCGGAGCGGGCATTTTTCATACTGGGCGCACCTGGCGCGCCGGCGGGCCGAGTGCCTTCGTCGTCAAGGAAATTCGCGAAATCACTGTTGACGGAAGCTCGGAGGTGGTCGAGAAGCGCTATTAAAGACACTGTTGTACAGGGAGGAGGCTTTATTTCCAACTAATATTACAGAAGGGTTTAATATATAAAAGAAAGAAATTTCAAATAATGGTTCAGATGTGGAGACATGTTTTATACTTTAAATATCTCAACAAATATATGTAATTTTTCTTTTTTGTAAGTTATGAATTAATAATTTTTTTATAAATATAATCAAACTCAATATCACAAACTTGTTGTATAAATCAGAACACTTGTAAAAAACAATACTTCTATTATGCCTTCATTTATTTGCTTGTAATTTGTCTCTTTTGCAAATATAGAGTCTCTCTAAAGTTCGTTTATTTGATGAACTGATTAATTCAGTGGTGGCTTTCCGAAGTGATAAAACATGCCAGCTACAGACAAAATCATAAAATACTTTTTACACTGGATCCCTGCCCAAACCAAAGAAATTAGATTTCAATTCTTTATTGATTAAATGCGTAATTGTCGACTGTAAGAGCCAGAGCAAATGACAAAGAGATCTGTGGAGGAGTGAAGCCATATTGTACCTATCTATGAAAGTACAAAGCGAGCAAGTAAAACACATCGTCTAATAGCGGATTCTTCCTTCCCGTGCCGCAGGTACACCATCAACAACAATCACGAGGTGGCGGACATGTACAGCAAGCGCTTCTTCCTGGATGCCGTGCTGCAGTCGCAGCGCGGCTCGCCCGTGGGCAGCGCGAGCAGCGTGGGCGGCGCGGACCGTGGCAGCGTGTGCGGCGGCGGCGGCGGCGGGGGCGGCGGCGGCGACGACTCCAGCGACGACGACTCGCGCGGACCCCGCTCTCCGCGGCCCGGCCTCACGCTCGCGCTCGCAGCCGACCTCCAGGTAGGCCAACGCCCACTCGCCCTCCCTCTCATTCAACCAAGACGATTAAGAAGCATGGGACCATAATATGTGTAAATGCTGCAAACGTGGGCACATACGTTGCAAGGGGTAGATGGGGTATTCAATGTACTTCAAATTGTCTTACGGAATTTAAACTCTTAGGCAAAAAAGGAGAATATTGAAGAAAGAAGCAAAAGTAGCGAGTGGAAGAGCACCGAACGCAAATGCACTTAAAAAGGGCAAAAAAACAATTTGCACATTGTCTAACATTTATAAAATAATAATTAACATTCATAAAATGTAAATATATTTGTATATGATTTTTATACACTTTTCCCCCTAATGCTAAGCTGTAAATTATCATGTAGAATTGCAACAACTGTAACAGACCATACGGTAATATGAAAAATCTTTGAAGTAAAAAATATATAATGTGCATGCACAATGTGTATGCACACGAGCGCTGTACCATACTGAAATGACACTCGAGCAATTACATAATTGTAAGAAGTCAAATGAAATCTCTAAAGGAAGGAATATTTTAAAACAAGAAATTTATTTTATCTGTTTGACAGTAATTATTGGAAGTTAAAGAGTTAAATATTAGTACCAAAATAGGGATTAGTAAGTATGAAACGAATTTTGCTTATTTGCAAATTACTGTTCAAGTTTTCCATTCAAACAACAGGATAATTAATTCGTTTCCCAAGAACCATTAAATCAAGATAATAAGGCTTGATCACATCGTTATGACCTTTCTACAACAGAAAAATGTATGTTATAACTAAATCATAAAGTTGACGTCATTCGATTGTATGTGATTCGGGGTTACGAAACGTGAAACTTCATTATGAACTTGGCTTTCATATGGCTCACAACACTGAATTTTTCATGCGTAGCAAATGTTCCTCGATATTAGAAATAACATTTCCTCTATATTGATTACATCAACGTACAGGCCTTTATATGAATAATGCTTGCAGTTGCCCAAAGGAACGAAAAGTGTAATGAAACAATAGGCTATTCGTCCGAACGTACATTGTACACGATCTGCGAAGAAAATATTCTTTCCTCATTCCTGCTAAGTTCCAGCGCTGATTGCTGCGCGATAACACGTCCACGGCCTCTCGTATCTCACTTTGACTAATGCTTGCGTTATGAAGGTCGGCGCATAGTCTTGTTAGAAATCTGGCTTTGAAACCTCACAGTAGTAGAAAATTATAGGCTAGCTGATTGTGATTAATGCAAGCGCAAGAACGCGACCGTTTATGGGCATTGAAGATGAATAGAATTTTCATGTTACTAGATTCCATCGGCGGTTAAATCGAAATGCGTGTACCCCGTTCATCGCTGTAGAAGCTGTAGATGAATTGAGACACTGAAAACCAAGTTAAATTCAATTACATGTTTTAGATAATAGTGTATCAGATATGGCAACGCGGCTTTCTTACTATATGCATTTAGCCTCTTTTACGCGAGGAGTCTTGTTACGAATTTTCTTTTCTAAGTGCTCATTATTATGCGGACACTTCAAAGAAACGCTTCAAAATAATGTTTATTTGACTGACATTTGCCTATATTTAAATATATTGTATATGTAATTTTCTAGAGAAAGTTCTGAATTAAAACAATGAACACTAGAGTAAATATTTCAATAGCATAGAGATTCTCCTGCTGATACATCCAAACTTAAGGGTATGAATCTTCACACCCAAAATGCTCAGTACCACAATGAGTGTCAAATACGGTGCTAATGTTTCATTTTGACCTCCCTGTCGTATTTCAAGTATTGAGGTCACCTGTTGTGGCCTCAAGAATTTCCAACACACTTTATACGCCACTTTCCAGTTTACAGACCGTGAACTACGATCTATCATATATTTTCAAAACATTCTCCGTCAGTTCTGTGTGCTGTCGAGGTCCATGCAATTCATTATTAATTATCTTTTCAAGATCTTATTTCCAAGAATACATTTCATATAAAAAAAATAGCCGTGCAGATGTATTGTAAGACATGTATGCCGCAACATTCAATTAGAAAATGAACTAGGAAGAAATAGGAAATGTGCAGTGAAGGGCAAACCAGCAAAAACACAAATAAAATAAATTGTATGCTTTTTTATACTACCGGTGCACAAGCAAAGAGACACACAAATAAAACAACAGTTTTTTTGTACACAGTAAAAGAAGTACGTTTACAATATATTCGTAAAATAAACGCCTGGAGCTCATATTTAAAACCTATACTGGAAAATGACAATTTTCAATCTACCACTTTTCTTGTGCAATAAGAGTTTTCATTGGGACGGGTTTTTCGTTTTGCAGAAATTAGCAGACTTTACTTGACTGGTATCTAAAATAAGTAATTCATTTTCTTATTATTTTCGAAAAAGTGTGCAAAGTTTCATTTTATGTGCAACATGAATTGTGTTAGATCTAGGAAATATCTCCAGCACTACGAGGATTAGAGGCAGCCCCGCCCGACGCAAACGGCTTCTAACCGCTTCGCTTTTCTCTCTTGCCCAGGAGTCTCCGGTCGACCTGTCCATGAAGTCCGCCCGCGCGCGCGAGGAGCGCCTGCGCATGGCAGCGG